AGAGAGAGAGAGAGAGAGAGAGAGAGAGAGAGAGTTTTATTCCTCCTTGGTACGGCTCCGTTGTTCTCTCGGGAGCGAGCGGCTTGCCCATGTCCGTCAACTCAGAAAAATCCTCTTCCCCAGAAAGGTAACATCATCATCATCTTCATCATCATCACACTCTCGCCTCTTCATCTACCTGTCTGTCCGTCCTGCTGTCCTCATTTCATCCTCATCTGTCTCTCTCTCTGTCTGTCTGTCTGTGTACAGATCGCGTCTGTTGTGTGTGTGTGTGTGTGTGTGGGCCTGATAAAAACGCAAACACAGAGAAACGCTGTTAATACATGTCATACTGTACACAGCAGCCCGACTATTGATCTGATGTGCTTGGTGCTGGTTTCTTTTGTGCAGCATCAACGCTGCATATATTGCGGCGTGTGTCATCACACCACCGTTATTTGGGGCATCAGAAGCAGATCACAGAAACACAGAAAGGGTTCATGGTGATTCTGCAGGAGTCGTTTCTTTAACGCAGTTCACAGAGCCAGATGATGTGAAAGCGCATAATCACCCACGTTTAGCGTCGCGTGACGCACACACGGGGCTCGCTGAGGCTGAATGAGTGTGAACATGAATGTCGAACTGCTGGATGTGCTGTGTGCTGTTTGCACGGCCGACGTGCCCTGAATACATTTCAGAAGCTGTGTGCTCATGAGTGAGTTATGACATGTGCTGTATGGACAGATGATGGATGGACAGACCCTAATGGACGGATACAGTAAAGGTCAAAGTGTCAGGAAAGAGCTCTTGTTGGCATGACAGAGATTCGCCAAAGGATGTTTGTCTTGCCTAAAATGAGGCTGGACACATTTTTCTAAAGATGTTCGGATGTGAATCTTGAACTTGTGAAGGTCTCCAGAGGCAGGTCACGTGAACCTCTACAAAACCCTCAGTCCAGCTCTGATCATGTGACCCAGATGTGATATGAAGACAAAATCAAGGACAAATGCTTCTCCAAAACTACCTCACTAAAACCAACAGGTTATGGAAACTGACTGATCTGAGTAGCAGGCTGTGCTAGTTAGCAGGCTAATCAAAAGATGTGGGTCATAAACAACAACATATGCAGGGCAGAGAGGAGCTGGGATGTTTGTGTTATTTTGTGAACCGCTCAGACCTGCTGACTAGCAGACTAGACCCAGCACTTAGACAGAACCATCTTAAAGACATCATAACCTTCTGTGTGCCAGATCTGATCAGTGGGATCTCTGGTTTAGTTTCTAGTATGTCTCATTTAAATCAGTCCAGTATCTTTCCAAGAATGCTGTCCCGCTGTCCTCCATTTCATCTCTTCTGTCTCTCTCTCTGTCTGTCTGTCTGTCTGTGGCTGATATGAAGTCAAGCACAGAGAAGTGCTGTAATGTGTTTCATGCTGTACACTGTACACTGTACACTGTACACACACACGACGGTCTCGGTTTGGTGTGCAGCTCTATATGAGACACGGTGCTGTGCGTCAGACGCTGAAGCTTCACAGACGCTGTGCGAAACACCAGCTGACTCTGATGTTCTTCATGCTGTTTTCTTTTGTGCAGCATCAACGCTACATATATTGCGGCGTGTGTCGTCACACCACTGTTATTTGGGGCATCAGAAGCAGACCACAGAAACACAGAAAGGGTGATTTTGCTGCAAAGAACCGTTGCTTTATAAAGACGTTTTAATGCAGTTCACAGAGCCAAATGAACATGCATCTCAGATGATGTGGAAGCGAATAAACACCAACATTTAGCGTCAGGTGACTGAATGAGTGTGAACATGAATATCGAGCTCCAGATGAGCTGCTGGATGTGCGACTGTGCCGTGTGTATGGCCGACGTGCCCTGAATGCCTTTCAGGAGCTGAATGTTCATAAGCATGATGTGATGTGTGATCTAAAACTTCCCGATGAACAGATACAGACAGACGTACAGTAGGCTAAAGTGTCAGGATAGAGCTTTTGTTGGCCTGCAGCGTGACAGAGATTCACTGGAGGATGTCTGTCTTGCCTAAAATTAGATGTTCTGCTGTGAATCTTGAACTTGTGAAGGTCCCCAGAGGCGGGTCACGTGAGCCTCTACAAAACCCTCAGTCCAGCTCTGATCATGTGACCCAGATGTGATATGAAGACAAAATCAAGGACAAATGCTTCTCCAAAACTACCTCACTAAAACCAACAGGTTATGGAAACTGACTGATCTGAGTAGCAGGCTGTGCTAGTTAGCAGGCTAATCAAAAGATGTGGGTCATAAACAACAACATATGCAGGGCAGAGAGGAGCTGGGATGTTTGTGTTATTTTGTGAACCGCTCAGACCTGCTGACTAGCAGACTAGACCCAGCACTTAGACAGAACCATCTTAAAGACATCATAACCTTCTGTGTGCCAGATCTGATCAGTGGGATCTCTGGTTTAGTTTCTAGTATGTCTCATTTAAATCAGTCCAGTATCTTTCCAAGAATTAATGTCATGAAGCTCTCACACGTGCGACTAGATCCTCCTCAGGATCACTCCTAGCATGCTGTAAACATGCCGTTGTCGTGTTTATGTTAGCCGGTCTGACCAGAGCGTGTTGAACTCACACCAGACGGTCAGTGAACAGACTGTGACAGACCACTGGCAGGCAGCAGAGATCCAAAGTTTATGCCAAGCGAAATGTTAACGTAACGCTAACAGTGTAATGAGATCAGGTCAGTGTTGGAGACGCCATCAGGTCTGACGATTAGCACAGCATTAGCACGGCCCAGTCCAGCCTAGCATCTACACTAAATTACCCAACAATATCTGAGATGATTTCAGAAAGCGTCCCTTCGGGAACGTTTGTGTAGACTGTAAATCTCCAGAGTGATCACCAGATCACTAGTGTGACTGTGAGGTTTTGTAGGCCAGTGTGAAGCATGACAATATGAGAGTCATCAGTCTTCTGAATCAACCCACGGCTGTCATGTGATCCGGTTAGTGGACATGACACCAGCTGATGAAGGCCGTCCTGACGTGTGTGTGTGTGTGTCCATGTCCAGTGATCAGTCTGTCTGCTGACTATCAGCGAGCTCCAGAGACTCTAACACACAGTTCAGCTGCACATTCTCCAGTATGAAAAGGGCTTTGTGTTCTCATGTGAGTAGGTGCTGTGGAATGTGATTTATTGATTTTATATATTGTGTATTATTTTGTGTATCCCTACCAGTGTACAGATGCTCAAAGGAACTGTTCACAGAAATTCTGTTGTCATTCACTCATCCTCATGTCTCAGACCTGTAGGACTTTCTTTACTCTGTCAGACACAGCAGAATATACGATGTTTGAGGTTTCTGTCAAGACCTCTTTAACCTCTTTAATGTGTTTGGGTTAGAGACCGCTGCTGTGCTTAAACCAAGTACATTTTCTTTTATTTTTTGCATTACCAATACATAGAGGTACTCGTTCAAATTAAAAACGGTCAAGTAACCAGCAGTTTTTGGACCACTTGAGATGGACTGACCCAGTAAACCAGTAAATAACCTGTCTAATGTTCTTATTTCAGCTGAAGAGTACTAGTCACTAGTGGTTAGTGGCGCGGCTGTATGTGTGTCGTTGTAAACCGCGTCTGGCTGACTAACAAAAGTGTGTCTCTTTTAAGGATTATGAATAATAATTAACTAGTAGTACATATAGATAAAGTAGATGTTTGTAGTTATTAAATTGTATTTTACACTGTCCTGGACTGCGATTGGTCGAGCAGGAGTGCTGATGTCACTTTCTTTCTGCAGGTGCATCGATACACCAGTAGGGTTACGTTTAGCTTTATACTGCCTTCTTGTTTACTGAAATATATAATGAAGATGAATGGTTTATTCTGATAAATGTAACTCTTCAGTGAACATTACTTCTGTTGCTGCTGTTTCATAGAAGCATTTAGGCGTCTGAATCACTGTAATGCTGGAGTTGCTTTAGTGTCATTCATATCAGCATTATATTGACATCTCTGCTCTGTAGACATCAGCGTCTGCCACTGAAAAACATCCACCGACACAAGTGGAACTGCTGAAATGAGAAGAAGATTTGTTGTGTGTGAGTGTGAGTTCTGGACTGCGTGTGAATTGGTCATGAGATTCCTGGCGTCGCTCTCGTTCCCTGAACGCTTCTCAGAGACACAGAGAGACAGAGAGGGAGAGACAGACTGTTCTGGAGCAGAAGACTTTAGCCAAACATCCCTCCATCATTATGGATCATAGTCACTCTCATTCCAGCAGGACGTTTGGTTTAGCGCTCAGTGCACTGCGATTACGGCATCGAGCCAAACGCAGGTAAAGAGAGAGTGTGTGTGTGTGTGTGTGAGATGAGTTCTTATACAAGACAGCCATGGTGAGTCACCAGCTAGGCGATGAGATCTAACCCTAACTCGTCTCAGCCAATCAAAACAGCTCAGATACA